ACAGATGATGACGAATCTGCCTCTCATTCTGATGAGTCGGTAGCTGAAGAGGCAGACACTGAGTCGCATAAGGATGACAAGGTAAATCTACATCTAATACATGTACAGATGTGATTTTTATTATTATTATTTTTCATCCTCATCACTTATGTTTGAATCACATTTAGTTAGTATTGTATCATTTTTAGCATTTGTCTTTCAATATATTTTTAAAGCATTTTGCACACTGATGATGGAATGGAATAGCTTAACCCACTCACGCCGGGTACATTTTGTAGCCAAAATAAAAAAAATCCGGGCGGCTACAAAAATCGGCGGGCGGAGCTTCCCCGGAGTTTGTCCGCCCGCCCAGCTGTGCGCCGCTGCTGCGTTGGAGCGCAGCCCCGATACAGCGTCATACTGGCGGGACGCCCGGCAATGTTTATTTTTTCCGGTGTCTCATATATGTGACACCCGGCACGATTGGGTTAATGTAAGGTAACTTCATCATCTAATCCACCAGACTGCTGTTGACGATGATGCGGAGTGGGAGAGGTTACAAAGAGGGCTAACCAAACGAGAGAAAGCGCTGGAAGGAAAGTCGAAGATGTCCCACACGGTGCACTGCCCATATTTCCCAGAGGACAAACAGGAATATTGGTGGACCTATGTGTGTGATCGCAAGAAGCACATGCTCATCACAGCCCCATATTTGGTGAGAATGCAATCTCGCCTATTTTTAGATGGGTTACTTAATTTTTTTGGGGGGGGGGATGGGAGGATCTGGGTATTGAAACTGTGAGTATGTATGTGGCAGCTTTCTGTGAAGGAATAAGTAAGTAAGGGCTGTAAAGGAATAGTGAGAACAAGAAAAGGATGCAGACAGTATGAGAGATAGAATGGAAAGAAATAGAAAGTTTAAGTAACTAGTATAAGGTGAGTAGATGTGGAATTAAAACAAATCCAATACTCATTTGGTAAATACTATTCTGTGGACTATATATATGACCCCATGCAAAGTCACAGCTAAAAGGATGACAAGAATAACCAGAATTTCCTTCTTCCTTAAATTGGGTTACATAGTTGTCTGTGAAAAGGAATACAATATGTATTTTTCCTTTAGATTTAAGTAAAACAGATTTTTTAGTATATTTACTATTTGATGATTACCAAGGAAAGGTCCATGTGGCAAAAGCTATTATGGATGTACGTTTCATACCATAATCACATATATTTGTTGATAGGTGGTCCACAGACACAACCCAGTCTCCCAATTTTTTGCATAATGTTGTCCACCTTCCACTTTTTTAGTTATTATATTTTTTCTTTTTTTGTGTGTGCGCCATAATGCGTAACAGTAGTTTTTGTTTTTGATCAATGATTCTGTGACCTAAAATAAAGTTATTACGTTTCTGAATAATGGTAACATTCATTCTTGCATACAAAGGTGTGCATGTCTTTGATGCGAAAAGCACCACATTAATTTTATTTGATAAACCTTATAAGGAATATTGTAGTTGATAGTGATAAAATGAAAATGAAAAGAAAAGATATTTTTATACATAATAGATAGGCCTTGAAATTCTGTATTTGAATATTTTATTCTGTATCTATTTATTTTTATTGAAAAATGTGATTTTTATATGTTTATTTATAACCGGTTATTAGGGAAATGCAACGTTTGAAAAGAAGTATGAAATTCCTCAAACCTTGAAATGCAGTGGAGGCAAAAATTCCATATGTGCTTTTCTAGCTCTTGTAATGATATAAAGTTTTCCTGGGTATACTGAGTTAAATATCTTGAATTAGGTTGTAAAATAAAATCAGAACCATTTGATATAGATTTATAGCACACCACTTTATGGGTTTATTATATGATATATCAAAGTTGTATGTAATACCAACCTAAAATTGGGTAATTCTTATTTATGTTTTGGCAAATGGCTACCTGTATGCCCAGGGCAGATAGGATGACCTATTCACATGTAATTGATTTCTGTATACAACCAGTACCAGTGAGTTGAGGCTGTTCAAAGTAACCTTTTAAAAAGTTTATACTATCACAAATGTGAGATAGCATTACTTTCAGTTGTAGAATATTAAATCTGATATCTCTCTGACTCTGTAGATTACAAATCTCGTGGACCATGAAGAGGTACAGCTCAAGTTTACAGCGCCCCAGAAGCCAGGTCTCTACACGTACCAGGTCTGCCTTCGATCAGACTCCTACTTGGGCCTTGACCAAAATCATGACATCAAACTTGATGTTAAAGAGGCTCGAGAAATCCCAACAGAGCATCCACAATGGCAAGAATGTTCCAGTGATGAGGAGGATGAGGATGATGATGTTGGAAAGGATGAAGGGGAAGAATCTGAGTTCACTACTGATGAGGAACTCACAGATGAAAGTGATGAAGAGTGATGTTTCAGGGCATGTAAAGGGAAGTTGCTGGTAGTAGACAACTTCCTCTCCTCACTATGAATGACTCACAATCTCTCTCTCTCTCTCTCTCTCTCTCTC